CTGACTCGAGTATAAGCCGAGGCGGCTTTTTTCAGCCCAAAAAGTGGGCTGAAAAACTAGGCTTATACTCGAGTATATACAGTAAGTATTACTTTCTTTCTTGTTAATTAACCCAGTACTGGGATAAACATTCCATTGGGGGAGGGTGTGGGAAGAAAGTAAAGCTGAAGCAAAATCGTAAGCACAGTCACAGTCATGTGATTTTTCCACTTAAGTGACCTACTTGCTAGTTCCAATTATGGTTGCTAAACGAGGACAACATTTGTGTCAGGCCCTTTAAGTCCCGCCATTATAGTGGAAATTAATAAAAGCCAGACATCCTCTTAAAATTCACACAATTCAGCCCCAGGCAACACAGCAAAATTTGGCAGCTTCAGCTTGTAATTCTCATTATTTGCAAACATGTTTTGTGGGATAGAAATTTTATTTTTGGGACTTGCAGTAGTGTCACAGGACTAGTAGGAAGCTCATGTTGATCCCCAATTAGATCTGTCACCATCTGAAACGAACCTCAGCAAGAGAATTCTTTAGCATTTGATCAGAGAATAATTGTAGATACTGTGTCCTCCCGTCCCCCAATGCATCAACATGTTATTCTGATATTTATATATGTCCAATGGCATCTCATAATAGCAAGTAGAGAGGGATGCAAAGAAGAGTCTTCTACTGCTTTTCCCAGTTCTGCCACTAATTAAATGGAAGGATTGACTGAATTTTGGGAAGATGACCTAACCAACACTTAGCATTTTTTTTCTACTTTAGAAATTTATCTAAACAACAGAAATATTTGGGGGCTTTAAAATACAGCTTTAATATGAGTGATTCTTTCAAAGCTTCACTGGCATCTCTTCAGGATGTAGCTAAGCACCATTCTGTGTTGTGAGAAATATGTAATATTTGTCTTATCTTTGGTATCGAGAGTTCTTCATGTACTAGTTTTAATGAACCCTTTGTAAAAAAAAATCAGAAGACAAATTGACACCTTTCTCTAGTATTACATTTTTTAAACTTGATGTTCTTGCTGAGAAACCAATTGCTAAGTAAAAAATAATTACATTAAAAACTGAGTCTAAAAAGGGGGAAATAATCTGTGTTTAAACATTATTTCAAATCCAGGAAATATACCTGAAAAAAATTGTTAAATTATTTCAGGAAAAAAAAATAGTTTGAAATGTTAAGTTACCTTGGAGCAGATGGTGGTGTTCGGTCCCTAACTCCTAAATTCTTTGCAGTATTTTGAACTCTTGCTCCCTGTAAAAATGAAAAAAAAATTGTGCTTCCCATACAGTTTTTTAAGCATTTGCTATTTGTAATTACCAAACTAATCTTCAAAAAGGAAAAAATGAAGAATATATAATTAATTATTTTTTTGTATATCAGAAATATATGCATAAAAATGCTAGTGTTGTTTTCCTGCCCAAACTCTTAGTGTCTCTTTAAAGAAATCTCATCTTTTCCAGGGCTTGTATAGTAGCTCCACAATTTCAAGAAAATATGCATTTGAGTTAATTAGAGTCAACACTGTACTCATGCCATTCCAAAATACCTTGTTGCACACTGTTCTTACTTCTCTAATTCAAACGTGTAAATTTCTGTTATTCAACCTATCAGTTCTTTAAGGAAACATTGATAGGTACAGCATGCATTCAACTCCAGAGCAATTTCTTGGTTTTCAATCCAAGTACTACATATTTTTAATGACATACTTGATGTTAGATATTTACTCTAACTACAGTGGTTTCCATCAACATCCTCTGTTCCAGCGGGAACAGAGGTTTAATCCTATTGGTCGAAGGGTCTGACAGCTCCATATAAAAAGGCTGCTGTCAGACTCAACCTTCGCTGGATTGTTCTCACTTGTTGGATTAAATAAAGAGCTGTTGTTACCGTTAAGCCTGTGTGTGCCTCTCCATTACCCAATGGAACACCCTCTAAGCATGGGTGTCAAA